CCCTCCCGGTGCCCGGCCTGGCGCCCCCCGCCTCCACCCATCGCACCTCCGGCTCTTGTGCCTTGCTAAACGCGCTCCTGCGCTGCCACCGCCCCGAAAAAAAATCCTTCCTCGGCTGCCCGGCTGATTCTAGAAGCAGCTGCCACTTACTCTGCCCAGTTTTGCCATTTTGCTAATCRCCGGTCTCTGGGCCATTTGTTGGGTCATCACCTCCTTTATACGCGTTGATGGAGGGGGAAGCCGTGGCTCTTTTGGGTTTAATGCCAGCCCCATGTGATATTTAGCACTGTTTAGGTGTTTATCATGTTTTAGATGTTTATTTATTTAGCACTGTAAAATGTTTATCCCTACTGGCCCTCAGTACTCATGCATTAGTGCTACCCTGGCATTGCTGCACTTTAGTCCTTATCATCCTCCACCAGCCACGAGCAGACATTCACCAATGTCAGAGATGCTGGTTAAGGATATTTACACTMAGGACTTTTTGAATGCCTATTTGTAAATCCTGGCCTGAGGTCAAACAGCAAACAAAATGATTCCTTTGCCAAGAACCCACTTAGTCCAGCACTGACCGGGGATGCTCAGAGGGCAATTCTGCCTTGGACAGCAAAGCAGAATTGTMTTTTCTGTATTTTCTGCTTGCTCACATAGCAAAACCTCTCCAGAGTCTCTGGGATACAATCCAGTGCAAGCTCCCAATATAATAATGTCATTTCTCCAGAGTCAACGCTTGCTCATGCACTCGGAAAGTGAAAAGAACTTTGAAATCTCTTTATGTGAGCAGAGCTCGATAATTCCTGCATTTATAATGCAAATACTAAACCCCAGAGCTATTCAGACTTAATACAGCATCACAGTTGTAGCTTGCTAGACCTCAGACAAAGAGATCCCCGAACTCTGCTTTTTTTTTGCTTATGGAGCAGGTGTTCTCTTGGCTATAACAGATTTGCAAATAGMACATCTCAAAATCTTTTCCAAGATGATGCTAATGAATGCTGTCCTTAGCACCAAGGGGACAAATCTTTTCTCAAGGAATTCCAATTTCACTGTGAGAGGAATAAAAGCCAAAGAGGCAATTTCTTATTTTACTGCATATCCTGTTTAGG